ACCAAATTGCACACTAATTTCTTATTCTACCATATATGACCGACTTCAAATATTTATTTTATCTATCTTTTCAGATTTCAATACAATCGACGATTTAGACAGCCACATCTTTGCCCCCAAAATCAACCCCATTTCACCCCTGGCCAGAGATTCTAAAACTAATCATCGACTAGTCGAAAAAACCGTGAGTGGAATATTTGCGCCTGATTCTTCAGCAAGTCGAAGACGAATTGAAAAGTCTTTACATTATAAAAGAAAATGGGTTCCTAAGGAAAATTTGGACATTGAGAGGGAAAATGAAATTGAAGATCAGAAGTATAATGTAAAAATTAATTTTGATGAATTTTATTGAAGACTAGAAGAAAAACTTATGTAGGAATCTCATTGAATGCAAATTAAATTTATGATATTTATTAGAACATGATTTTATTTTATTTTATTATTATAATAATGAATTATATGTTTGCTTAAAATAAAATTACAATGTGATACAAAGATATTTTATTTTTGGAATCAACTTGATTATAAACTGGTGGTGCATGGCATCGTGCTTTAAGGCAAATTGTTGAAACTTTCCGTATCAGAAATTAAAAAGTTTAACTCTTCTTTCTTTTTTCTTCAGAATTTTAAAAACTTTGAAAAAAAAATTTTTGAGAATTTAAAAAAAAAAATTAGAGTTTATTGAAAAATTTGAATTGTTTTCCTACCTTGAATTTTTCTGGAAATTTTGAACTTTTTTCAAATCAATCGTGCTGCGTGGGTTTTAAAAAAGAAATATCAAAGCGCGTAAGCGCTGCATAGCAGTCTAATAAATAAACATTGGTAAGGAACTCATAGAAATATAAACAAAAAATATACTTAGTTTTAAAGCCTCTATAAAATATCTGATAATTCGAAGTGCATATGTCTAAAAATCATTTTTGACCGTCAAATTACTTTTTTTTACTTTTTTCACCAGATCTCTAAAACTGCTGGACCTGCCTTTCAAAGAATTTAAATAGTTCTTCATTTAGTCTATACAAATAAAAAAAATATACTTTCCGTAGGGTAAGTTATAGTGATCACAAAATAATCGAAAACGAAAATTTTATATATCTTCATGTTTCTGAACATTTTCGCATACCTTACAATTAGAAAAAATGGATGTATGTGTGTGTGTGTGGGTGGGTGCGGATACAAATATTCGATTCCTACTTATAAAAAGACGTGCTGATTTGTTTTTGGCAAAGATAGGTCTAGCCGTTTCGGAGATACAGGGCAAAAAGTGCCAAAACTGGTATTTTAGTTTTTGAGATAAGGTCCAGCGTCTCCGAAGATCGAATACAAACAGTAAAAAAAAAATCCATTTGGCAGTCAAAAAAATGAAAAGAAGTCATTTTTTTTTTCAAAAATATCAAAACTTCTCAAAAATTTAACTTTTTCAACGTTTTGGAAATTTTTTCTGAATTATTTAATTTGGGTACGGGAAGTTCCAGCAATTTGTCTTAATGCACGATGCCATACACCACTAATTTTTAGGATTTTTATGAACATAAAAAATCTACAAATGGTGTATATTAAAGCAAATATGATTATCAACCATATATGTACAGCCTTTACCATAAATCCTTCAAGAACACAATTTTTTCCCAGACATCTTACTCATACAGTTTGGAGCAATAAAACACGATGTGAAAATCCTTTTCGAAAATATGTGCATAATTTATGAAACACGTTTTACAACAGAACGAAGCTTATATAACGTGCATGAGTTTCATAATAAAAATATATATACATATACATTATGGTACAAAATACCGATAAAACGATTTTATGATATGGAGACATCATTGGCTATATGTTTGGAGTATATTGAAAATATTTGTTCGGCCATAAATTTAAATGTTGCACGTTTTTTAATTTTGGATAAATCAAGGGCTCAAATTTAAATTAAAAGAGGGCATGGGCGTGTTTCCATACAGAAATGGCCCCACCGAGAAAATTTTAAATACCAAATTTCAATTCCGTAGCTCATCATTTGACCGAGATGCCATTGAAAATATGAGAAAGTAGCCCCTTTTTTCAAAGTCGTTTTTTGTCGCAACTGTAAAAGCTATCAAAAACCAAATAACTGGATTCTATTCATATCGGTGTGTACTATATTATTAATAACAAATATTGTTTAATAATTACTTTTTGGTATATGAAAAAGTGAAAATAAGTTTTTGTTTTTAATTTTCGAGTAGTGCGGTTGTTTGGACGAATTTTCAATTAGTATCATTAGAAAGACTATTCAATTTTCTTTTACTGTCTGAAATTTTGTTTTGTTTTATGTGGTAGAACACATTCGAAAGTAGAAAAAACCTGAGCATGTACACGCTCGCGCTCATATATCTTGTAAGATATTTTCATATAATTTTCATTTTTGATTTTTTCACAATTATAAGAATTTTTATGATGGCTAAATAGTTTGAATAGTTATCATGATTAATTTAAAAAAATCAGACCTGGGGGTAGTTGAAACAAAATGTTTGGGCCTAGTCGCAACCAAAATGTAAGGTTGTGAAAATTGACCAAATTAATATTGGTTACATCTATTATTACTATTTTTTAATTCTATTTCAAATAATTTGACGACAACTTATTTAAAATTCCACGATTTCCACACGTGCGTCGAATATAAATTTGAATATTAAAGTATGTAATATTTTATCTACAAAATTCACATGTTAATGTGTACATGTAGTACATTTTTATAAGTACTAATAATTATTATTATAAGGAACTTAGAGGTTGGTACAACAAACAAAGTTTATTAATTTTCAAAATGGTTTAAAATAAATTTGCGTATGTAGAAGAGACCTGGTTTAATTGCAATAGTAAGTAGAATCAATAATAAAAAATTCATAAATTATATTTATTATGTAAGTCTTAGAAATTACCAATATATATATATATATATATATATATATATATATATATATATATATATATATATATATGCCTATTGTATAATGAAACAAAATATAAAAATCCAAACTAGATTTATTTTTGAGGATTTACATTCTGACTAGTTAATAAGAATTTGAGGCTTGTTACTTTAATATTGTTTCGATGTTTCAAGTTATTCTTAATCTTTTGACATCAACTTTGAAAAATAGTATATGTCTGTGGGCTGATTTTTAACATTTCTCCAAAGTTACTGAACCAATTTTAATAAATTAAAAACCATTCGATGTAACTCAATAAGAACTCGCATTATAATTACATTTTATTTAAAAAAACATCAAAACTCTATATCTTTTAGTTCATGATAATCAACGCACTTAGCAAGCAAATAACTAAAATATGAAAAAAAAAATTATTTTATTGTAATACAAAACCTAATATTATTGACCATATTTATTTACTATCGATAACCAAGAACAATAAAATTCTATTCCAAAAACCTATTAATGATGTATGAATTCATTGCTGAAATAATTCTGGGAATCACTTACAAAAATGCAAATAATATTTGTTTTAAAAGACAAACATAATTATACCTAATTGCTTACATGTGTACTTATTATTAATTTTATTTTTATGACTTTTTCGAATTGTCATTTATAGCATTTTTTTGTGATTTACGATGACGAATTTTCACTAGCGTTTATATAGAAAAAACAAAAACTATGATCGCGAATTATTTTTAATTGTTGCTACAAATTTTCCATTCATTCATAAAATATTATTATAAATTTTCACGTTTATTCTATGCTATTTATATTTATTTTTTTCTGCTTTCCATCTCAAAAATGAAATTGGTAAAGTGAAGGAAATTGAAAATATGAAAATAGATGTTGATAGAAGCGAAAGCGTAAAAAATGATGTGTAATTCGAAAAAAAAATAGAAAACAATGATAGATTATTTATGATGTTATATGAGAAGTATCAAATATAACAAAGTTGTATTCATCTCATCATTAAACGTTTTGGAGGTATTATATATTTTTTCTATAGTCTTCAAAAAATTTGATTATAGGCCCATTATTTACCTATACAAAACTATCTATATTAAAACCCAATATTTAAAAAAAGTCTCACTTTTCTTGAAAACAAATTGAACATTGTTTTAGCTTTCTCTCACGAAAATATCATAGATAAAATTATTACACAAATGTTTTTAAAAACACAATTCAACAAATTACCAATTGCAAATTACATATAAATAATGTATATGTATATAAATAATGGATTATATGAATATATATAAATTAGCTCCAGATTATTCATTATTCATTCTTCAACTTTCTGAAGGAATTAGTTTGGTAATTTTATTTTATCTAGAAGTTTCAAGTAATTTTGAATCATTGGATACTAAAATTGAAAAAAAAGTGTACGTTAGTATTAAATATTTAATTACAAAATGTACAATGCTACAAATGTATCTCCTTCAAGTTATTATTTTAAAACCAAGATTTTTTTAAAATAATTGCAACTTATTAATTAGTTATTAAATCAAATAATTTTCCATTATTTTTCCTCTCAGATAAAAATGATTAACATTAAATTGATGATCACTCAAAATTGATGTAAATGGTTCAGTTATTACTGTAATGATGACCAACAAATTGCTGCTAATATATATTATATGGAACTTTATTTTATATAAAATATTATATATAGTATATAATATAATCAGAGTATTACCCCTGCTCCTGGTCTCCCCTAAGCTTATCTAGAAAATACCTCCAACCCATATCCTTCAGATTTCCGTAACAAGGTGTCGATTTATTGCCTATAAAAATATTTACGAAAATAATTATCTAAAAAACGCAGAAAATCGATAGCACATTTTTCTAATTATTACTTGAAAAACAATCCTTATCAATATTCTACTGTTTTTTTCTAATTATCATTTACTCCATATCTTCACCTGAACTGGTGATTTATTACCAGAGTTATTTTTCAATCGCATATATAGGTAGGAGGTAACTAAGTTTTTTTAGTTTTGAGGAAAAACCAAGAAAATTTTAAGGATGAACTTGATAATACATGGTGTGATATTTTCATTTTCATTAATATTTGTTGTTGCTTTCGGATTACCTGAAGCTCAGCATGTAAAAAATGATAATGGAAAAGTGAGGAAAATTGAAAATTATGCTGCTAACCAGAGTAGTAATGTGGAAAATGATTTGGTTTTGAAGAAAGTTGAAGAAAGAGGTGAGAGAAAAATATAATATTAAATATGCAAATATTTTCACACTAAATGAGTTTTCAATGAAATTTATAAATATAAAAAATGTTAGGAAAATAATTATTAATTAATCAACAATTAAATTATTAATTTCAATATACTAAAATTGGCATTTCAACTACGATTTATTCAAAATTCTGATATCCAAGAGTGAACAACAGTTTTTACTAGATTTTAGTAAATTTTATCTGATTTTTACAGATGAAAACGAATTATGATGTCCAAAAGGAAATTCATAAGTTATTTGAAGAAAAACAAAAAAATGTTTTGTATCCATATATAGCAAATTAAGGAAATACTAAAGTCAGCATTTCAACTACAAAATATTCAAAATTTCGTTATCCAACTGTATATCCAACAGTTCATACTAAAATTTAGTAAATTTTATCTAGTTTTTACTAATATAAAAAATATAAGGTCTGGAAAAAAAATTATTAGTTATTTGAAGAAAAGTAAAAGAATGTTCTAAATCCATATATAGTAAATTACGGAAATACTAAATTCCTCATTTCAACTACGAATTAATCAAAATTTTGATATCAAAGTATATATCACAGTTTTTCTTAGAATTTAGTGAATTTTATGTAGTTTTCACTAATGAAAACAAATTATGATGCCCGAGAACTAAATTGAAAGTTATTTGAAGAAAAGTAAGTAAAAATGTTCTAAATCCATATATTAGCAAACTATGGAAATACACCTAAGTCTGTTTTTACACGGAGATTGGTTCCAGAAGAATCCGTGTAAAAAAAAAAAGTGTAAAAAAAGACATTGATCTTATACAAAAATGGGTGATTTGTTCCTAATCTCTAAAACCTATTAAAATTAGTGAAAAACAAGAATTTTCAGGGTATTCCCCTAAATGAGTGCTATTCATATTTGCTTTGACCAGTAAAATTGTTTGTACGCGCTAAGGGGAATTCACTTAGATCTTTAAGCTAGTGTTCGCAAACTATCGATACTATCGATGGTTTCAGACTTTTTTCTTTCATAAATACTTTTTTGTGATATGAACATACTTCGCAAAAATTAAATTTGACAAAAAAAATTAAGTACATAAAATTTTAAATCGTGCTAATTGGAATAAAATCGTGTAAAAAAAATTAAAAATATTCAATTTTCAAACCGTGTTATATCAAAACCGTGTACAAAAAGACCGTGTAAAAACAGACTTAGGTGTACTGAAGTCAGCATTTCAATTACGAATTAATCAAAATTTTGATATCCAAATAGATTAAACAGTTTTTACTAAAATTCAGTGAATTTCATCTAGTTTCAACTGATGTATATAAAACAAAGTTGCCGGGGCAAAATTATAAAGGTATTCAAAAAAAATATTAAAAAGAAGTCCAAAATTCTAGTAAAATCATCAGAAAATAAGCGTCTCATCAAGTTTTATTAAAATTTCATTATGGAAAAGTATACAAAAGTTTTACTAGATTATTTATTGTTATTATTTTTTTCGAATTACAGTATTTATTACAACTGTTAAATGATTTAACATCTAGTAATAATAATAAACAATAACATAAATTTAAATAAATAAGAGTACAAAGGATAAAATTTACATTAAAATGATATCCGTAGTATGATGATTTAATATAAAATAAAAGCAAATCATAATAAAAATAAAATTAATAAATAAAATAAATAAAATTTCTGAATAATAAAATAATACTAGATTATAGTAAATGTTTTTAAGCTCTTATTAAAATATAGAAATTAAAAATTTTGGGATGATAAAAATTTTAAGTCGCCTGACGTAATGTAAAGAACTTTCTTAAAACCACATATTGCTAAGTATCAAAATTCTAAAATAGACGATAAAAAACTAATTCAATTGAAACAATTCAAACAAAAACTACCAGATAACTTTTGTTATCATATGTAAGCCGATGCTAGAGTAAGTGACATTAAAATCTGTAGATAAAAATATCTGCCAGTCCTCGCGAGACGGGTATTTTTACCCGCTCCCCAATATACATACATATATATATATAAATATATATATAAATTTTTATTTTCCTAGGTAATCGTGACACTGTTTTATCAGGCCAATTCAGTCCAGCAATCCATTTCTTCTCAGACAGTGCCAAAAATGTAGTCCACGAAAGTGCATCCTTTCTCAGGACCTTAGTCGAGCAAATTGTCGACAGAAAAAGACGTAGTTTAAGAAAAATCAAAGATGGCTTGAAAAGATTATGGAAAGCTAATAAAGATTTAGTCAAAGCATTTTTGAACCCTAAATTTTACGAGGCTTTAGTTATTGGATCTTTGGAATTACCAAAGTTGGTGACAGAGTTGTACGAGAAGTGGGATCCTGCTAAACTTGATGAAGTAATTTATGTTGAAGCTCCTCCAGTTCTACCTGGTATTCCAGGTAGTAATCCAGGTGGTATATTTTCTACAACAGGCACGTCTGGAAGTTATCCTGGATCTGGTAGTTGGTCTGGAAGCGGATCTGGAAGCGGATCTACAAGTGGATCTACAAGTGGATCTACAAGTGGATCTACAAGTGGATCTACAAGTGGATCTACAAGTGGATCCGGAAGTGGGTCTGGAAGTGGATTATGGAATGGGTCTGGAATTTTACCAGGAATAGTTCCAGGAATACTACCCACTGCACCTTTTCATACATCCCTTCCAACTGGTATAAATATTGCTAGTGGTAATGGTATAAATTTACCAACTCTTAGGCCTTCTCAACCAGGAGGCATTTCCATAAATTACAATTAAGGGCTATAAAAATACATTTAATTCTGTCATAATATGCTTTGTGTTATATTAAGTTTGATAAAATTATAAAACTTAACTTTAAATAAAATAGACGGTTGGATCACTTTATTTTGACTCATTTAGAATATTCTGGAAATACCAGAAGAAGATATACATGCAAACTTGCACATAGCTAAATAGTTATTTTCTAGATTTTTGGATATTTAATTTATTACTATTAAATAAAAACTTACAAAGGTCTATATTTTATTCGCCCAAATATTATGTGTCAAATATAATCAAAAATTGTTTAGTTTATTGAGAACTAATAAAAACATGAACCAATTTGATAATTATTTACTTTTTGAGCAAAAGATTGATTTCGTTGCTAATATTTTTTAAGGTTACATTAAAAGACATCATTAGGCTTTTTAGCTAATTTTTTATATATTGACGATTATATCAATCAGAATACAAAAAAATCACAAGAATGATTATATAGAAACTGCTACATATTTCACTGATAAATAAAACAAGTTTGAATACTAAAGTTTTCAAAAATGTTTATTATTAGTTAACTAAAATGACAATTATTAGTCTCAAATGCTTAAGTAATTTTTTTAAATTTATTTAAAAATTTTGATGCTAAAAATATTAAAGGAATATTTTGAGGGTTTATAAAATAGTATGTTAAGAAAAATTTATGTTACATAAAAAAATATTGTTAAGAATTATTCAGCTAATTATATGTATCTTAACTATTATATAAATCAGAACACGAAAAAATTACACAAATAATTATATCGAAACTGATACTTACAATGATAAATAAAGAAAGTTTAAAAAATAAAATGTTTAAACATGTTTTTCATTATTTAACCAAAACGACAATTATTAGCCTCAAATGCTTAAGTGTTTTTTTGTAATTTTTATTTGAAGGTACCGATTTTAAAAAATAATATAGAGATATTTTGAGAATATATAGAATAGTCAGTTAAAAAATGATGCTTTGGAATAGTCTTAATTTCTAATATTTAATCAATTGTATACATAAATATTGAAATTCTAAAGATTTTTCATCAAGTTCAACTTTTCAACTTTTCATATTTTTTTTTTCAAATTTCTGCTGGTTCAAAACATTTGCACTACGTTTTTCAAAATATATTAATTTTTTTTTTCAATTTTGAAATTTTCATTTCATTGGATATAATATATATAATTATGTACATGTTTTTCTATCCTATGGGTATTTTACATTTCTATATGTTTCTAATTTCAGTGATTGAAATTTTTTTTTAATAGTTGACCATTTAGATCATGTGTCAATCAAAGGTTCTATTAATTCACCAAATTATTTTTCAAGCTTCTAACCGCTTATTAACACGTTGTTTGCCCTGTCAGTCATATGTGTTTAACGCTAAGAAGTCCTACATGAGCTATGTCCGACATTCGCGATTTGGTAAAAAAATGAAAATAATTCTGATATTGATGTGGCCAAAATATCGTTTTTCCTGAATTTTCATTCTTGCTTCATTTCCAAGTGAGTATATTTTCCTTTGATACTTTCCATTTTATTACTACTTTATTATTATTTGGTGTTAATATATGCATATTCCATTTTCTCATAAATTTTATATAAACCCTTGCCTTTTATTTCGTATTTTATTACTTAGCAGTATATTCTAAAATAACTTTTGAATATAAAACTATATGATCGGATTCTAAACAGATACTAAAACAAAAGATATATTACTGTGAACATAAAACTGTTTTATGTACACATCATTATGTATTAAATAAACCTTCATCTTCCGGAACATAAAAGACTGTTTTCTATGAATATTATAATAACACACTGTATGTAAAATGTTTTATAATGGTGATAAAATATTTTTTATATGAAAGAGTAGATGGATGAAAATGGACTAGGAGTGCACCGGTCAATCTTTACTATTACATTTTATTAAAATTATAGCAAAATAAAATAAAATCTAATATTTTTACCAGACATTTATTTTTATAAAAGTTTGATTATAATAAAGTTTTTTTTGCAAATTCAAGGTCAAAGTTTTTTAAAGTTAAAGAAACAAATTTTTAAGGTTTATATCACTTATTTACAGAAAGATAATAATGTCATATATATTTTCAAAACTTTAAATAAAAACATTGTTAACACGTTAATCGCCACGATAATATCAGAAAAAAAATTCACATGGGCCAAGACAACTTTATTAAATAATTTAAATAAAAATGTATTAAGGAAACTTGATGTATCGAAGACAATTTTTTTTATGAAATTCCTAAAAAGACACTATTTTTCTTGTCACACATATATGACTGACACAGCCCTATATTTTTTTTTTTGGCCTTCTACCAAACCGGGTATGTCAGACATATATGTCTAAAATGGCTCTTGTAGAATTTTTTAGTGTCAAACACTTATGACTGACATGGCGATTAACGTGTTAAAATTTTAAATCCACAGCTACTAGGTTTTGCTTTATTTTTAACGTTCAACTGATCTCTTTCAATGGCAAATTTATAAATAAACTTTGTGAAAATCAATTGTAATATATATAATGCAAAAACAGAATTAATTTTATTATATTATAATTGCAAAAATAATCTAATATTGTAAACAATAATAATTGTCAACACTGACGATAATGAATTAAACTAAATAATTCAAGGTGAAGGAAATTCCCAAAATGTATAAATAAAATAATTGATAAAAAAGTATAATATTAATTATTATTGATTTTTGGGTTTTCCTGAAGAAAATGATTTACCGCCGATTCTAAAGCGATTTATTTGATTGAAACGTCCTTTTCTAATTTTAAATAATAATTATTTATTTTTTACTACACCTCAATTAATGGATTTCTTTTTATTAAACCTTAAACAATGGATCTTGTTTTACTAGACCTTAAATACAGAATTTCTCTCAGCACTTCTCAAAAAAATGGATTTTTTTACTACACCTTGAATAATGGATTTATTGTTACTAAATCTGAAATAATGAATTTTTTTTACTAGACCTTCAATACAGAATTTGTGAGTATGCATGTAATATGTAAAAAGAATAAGTGAAATGCAATATGTTACAAAAAGTAAAAAATGAAAAATATTAATGTTTGAAAAAAAAAAGAATCAACAATGGATTTTTTTCCTACACCTCAAATTAATGGATTCGTATTTACTGTCTCAAATAATGGATTTCTTCTTACTAAGACCTCAAATACAGATTCGTTTTTTTACACCGCAAAATTAATGGATTTTTTTTTACTACTCTTCAAATAATGTTGCCATCTGAATAAGAATGCATGAAATAGATGGGACAATAGTTCTAAAAATCACGTTTGGAGTGGAGTACGATAATAACAAACAACCATTAAAAGTTTGGAAACTTTTGTTATAAATGCAATATCCACTCCAATTATTAATACCCTGCTGAAAGCTCAAGAGTTTTCCAATAATTTTCATTACACCATGCATCATCAAATTGTTATCACAGCAATTTGTTATTTTCCATATTGTTATCACATTCAATAGAAAAAAATAACCATTGCGATAAGGAAATGACTGGTGCATTTTGGATTCCAAAAAATAAAGGAAAAATATTCTAGATATTTCTAATGTGCACAAAAATTTGCAATTCAAATTTAAAAATATTGATGGGTATATAAAAACTGCGAAAATTACTTCAGCATTAAGTTCTGCATTTGAAATCGTAGTAGCAAGTGAAGAAAAAAATCAGTAAATCACAATGAAGTTCTCTTTGGTAGTTTTTTTGGTTTGTGCCATCGTGGCAACAACTTTGGCAGCTGCTCCTAATTCCCAAAGACAAAAAAAGGATAGTGACAAACTTCCTGGAGTAAGGAAAAATGAGAACCATGAACGTGCAGCTGCTCCTCATCCTGCTCCTCGGGCCAACAATAAAGGAGGTAAGAAAAATTGAAATTTTTCACCAAGAAAAAAGGAATATTCTTTGGTTTTCTGCCATATTTGACCCAACTGAATACAAAACTAGTCGTATATAGCATCGTGCCTTAAGGCAATTTGCTGGAACGTCCCGTACCGTAATGAAATATTCGAGAAATTTTAAACGTTTCCAAATAGATTATTACAAATACTGTAACTTTCATTATTTTTGCTATCTTGTTATATCTGAGCAAATCAAATGTAAATCATAAATCAATTCATCTCCAGAACATTAACAGTCGTCATTTCATTTCGAATTCAATTTCACAAAAATAGTTGCCTAATTTACACAGAATTGAAAAAGTGCTCCCGTATAGTTACAGTCTAATTTTGCAAATAATTATATTATATTATACTGTGCTTAGCTTAGCGGCATTTTCATATTTTTCAGTAGTTTTCACAAAATTGGAAAAGTGCTCCAGTGGATAAACAGTCTAAGCGCACTTGGGTAAACATTTGTACCAGAGTGGCGCTTAGACTGTGCTTAACCTGGGTAATTTTTTAAATTTTTAATCCAAAATTACAAAAATATTTCATGAAAAATAAAAAAAAAAATGTTTTTTTATTCTCAAAAGCAATTGTTTTGTCAATACAAGCAGAAAGTTTTTTAGATCATTCAAATCGGGCGTTTAGTTCACTCAAAAACTGCCATTTTTTTAACATTTAACTCTGTATCTCCAAAACCGCTGGGCCTACCTTTGCCAAAAACTAATAACCACTTTTCCCCGTCATTACGAACTGAATGTTTTCTGGATCATACAAATCGGATGATCCGTTCTATCAAAAACTCGAATTCTATTGTCTGCACTCTTTGCTCCATATATCCGTAACTGCTGGACCTGCCTTTGCCAAAAACTAATCAGCACATCTCCCTATTAATAGAGATCGAATTTTTTTAACCATTCAAATCGGTTGATCCGTGGACGTGGACGAAAAAATGCGGACGTACAAAACACACACACACATACACACACATCCATTTTTTCTGAAGTATGCCAAAATGTTCAGAAACTTTCAAAACGTCGAGAAATGCAAAAATGTTCATTTTCGATTTTCGGCCCATTACTATAACTACCCTACGGGAAGTTAAAACGTTCCTAAAATATTGTAGGATTCTGCTGTTCTGGATTCCAGTTACAAGGAATTTAACAAATTATTATTTTTCTCTAGCCAAAAAAACCCAAGCCAGAGCCGGACCACCAGCCCCAAACCCAGATAAAACCACTTCTGAAATAGACCTCCAAACCGCCGTCAAATCCGCCTTTGACGCCTTTGCTCCTTTGGCCAAAGACGGTTCAAGTTTGGCAGTAGATGCAGTAAAAAGCTTCCTAGGTGACAACAAAGCTCGCAATTCTCCAGCCAATTTGCAAAAACGTGCTGCCAAATTGGCTACTGACAGTTTTAATGCTGTCAGAGATTTTACACCAACTGTGAACAAATTGGTGCAGACTTACGTACCAAAAGCCTTGGAAACTGCTTCCAAGACTTTGGACTTGCTAGGATTCTGAGGAACTAGGATTGATATTGGGATCGAATGCTTGTACAATAATTATTAGATAATAACACTATTTTTAAAATTAATAGTTGTACAAGTGTTAATAAGAGCACGTTTGATGGATCCACTGGTTAATAGAAATTTTCGTGAAAATGTTAATGTTTACTAATAAATATATATTTTACTAATGCAAAACAAAATTATACTAATAAAAAAATAACTTATGTATCACTTGATATAAAGTACAAATACAAAATATGTTATTGGAACTTGGGTTAAAATATATAAAAATATTTATTTTATTGGATACTATAATATTATCATTTATAAAATAGTGTATCATGCTTTTTCATCCAATCCTTGTTAAATATGATGTTAATTTAGAAAGACGCCTTTGAATAAATTATTATGGATCTAAGACATAGTTTTTATTTTTGAATATATATATATATATATATATATATATATATGTGTGTGTGTGTGTATGTGTACGTGTGTGTATTTATACTAGCTGACCCGAAAACACCTTTCAATACCATAGACGAAGAAGAGTACAGCTTTTTAATCTACTCTCACTACATGTAAGGGAATTGATTGATCGTCAATTTCACCATACCATCGTTAAACTTTTAAAAGCCCAAAGTTTCTACAATATTTCTGAATTTGCCAATTTCGATATCAAACAATATTTTGATAATAAAATGCCTACTGATAATATCTGATATGAGATTTTTCAACAGTTACAATTATTTTTTCCCTTTGCCGTATTTTTTAAAAATTTTATTCCAAATTATTTTAACATTTTTCAACCTTAAGTATTTTATCATTACAATTATGTTCATATTATATTCTTTTTTTTAACACTGCCCTTAATTATTATTTTCCAGATTTGGGACTTAAATGAAAATTGTGTAACGAAATATTTAAAGGATATTTTTACCATCAGAAGAATCTCAAGATCTACAAGCCCTAAATAAACTATTTCAATATTATAATTTTTTTTCAAGTTATTGAAATTAGGCTTAATATTGTTCTGAAGTTGTACTTTACTGTAATTAATTCAGATAAGATAATAATTACAAAATAAATATTAATATAAATAAGAATATAATTACAGATATCAATACCAGCATCACTAAATATATTGATTTAAATATCAGTACAAATATCAATAGAAATACCAATATTAGTGTCAACATAAAAAAATGTGATTATAATAACCAATATAAATATCAATAAATAAATAAATATCAATATTAATAAAAATAACAAAAATTAGCATCAGCATTAATAAAAATTCTAATATGTATAAATCTTGTTTGAAAGTTTTTGAAGTCGGTGCAGTTTTGATAAATGGAAGACAAAAGATCAAAAATCTGCTCACATACATATCCACATATACCTTGCTTCAATTTGGTCTCAGACGATTCAGATTGACTTTAAACATCCAAAAGGCATAGAACTAGCAAATCGAGATTTCCGACAAAAACGTTAACTTCTCTTTCTAGAAGTTTACATATAAATGTATAACTAGTGGTGTATGGCATCGTGCCTTAAGGCAAATTGCTGGAACTTTCCGTACCATAATAAAATATTCCAAGAATAAAATTTAGTAAAAAAGAATTTTTGAAATAAAAAATCTAAAAAAATTTTGAATCATTCTAATCGGATGCTTAGTTCTTGCAAAAAGTGCCATTTTTTGCATATTTGTCTCCGTATCTCCGAAACGGCTAGACTGCCTTTGCCAAAATCTAATCACCACTTCTCCCAATCATTACGAATCGAATGTTTTTTGAATCATTTTAACCGGATACTCCGTTCGCTCAAAACCATAATTTATATTGTCTGCACTCTTTGCCCCCTGTTTCCGAAACGGCTGGACCTGCCTTTGCCAAAAACTAATCAGCACATCTCCCTATCAATAGGAATCTAATGTTTTTTTAAGCATTCAAATCGGATGATCCGTGCGCCCGAAAACGTGGACTAAAAATTGTATCCATACATACACACATAAACATTCATATTTTCTAAGGTATGCCAAAATGTTCAGAAACCTTCAAAACGTGAAGATATGCAAACATTTTCAATTTTGATTTTTGGAGGATTACAATAACTTACCCTATGGGAAGTTAAAAATATTGGAATATTAGTCATAATTCAACATCTTTACTTTAATGATAAAATAATTAGAAATTCACCGAAATAGTGTTTTTATAGTGCATTTATTCATTATAAGTGTGACAAAATATTAATACATTGCATATACTGATATAGGTATTTTATACAACATTATCAAATTTGATAAATTTATAGATTAAATATCTTCCCCCATCAAATAGTTGTCCAAGAACATTTAGAGATTCATTTTAGACCAGTCATTTAAGCCTAAATTAGGTAAGAATCTCGGAATTCGAGATAACCAGCTGTAAGTCTGTAAATACTTGTATAATGAAACACTAAAGTTGTCCCATAACCTAATGTGGTAGGGTGTCAATACCATATGTAGGTTTTGAGACAACTTTATGGTGTTAATAGACAAGTATTTACAGACTTACAGCTGGGTATCTTGAATTCCGAGGTGAACTTACTATAATGACTGGACTATTTCTACTTCATACAATAAGTAATTCATAAATATATGAAAAACCAAATAATTCTTGCTTTTATCAATATTATTTATTTGAATCATATTTACTAAGCATTGAAGCCAAAGCTGCTGCCGGGTTTTTATTTTGGGTGAACGAATTTTCTTTGGCACTATCTGTCAATAAAGTGTCAACTTGATTTAATAAATCCAAATTCCAACCACGGTTTTGTTGATTTTTGGAAATTGAACCTCGGTTTTTTGCGTTTATTGTAAATCCTCTGTTCAAACCATAAAAAATAGTATGATCTTCGAAATCTGCGTCTTTCTTTCCAATATTAGAAAAACCTTGTGACGATTTTTGTGAAACTTCTGTAATTGATAGAATTATCCATATACACACGAGAAGAATTTTTTAAAAACAAAAATTAGTAAAATAAATATTTTATTATTACCGGCTTCATTTTTCACAAGCAAAGTCTTCTCAGTTTGAAGAATATTTTTAGCATTAAGCAAATTTACTGCAAACACTAAAATAACAAATAAATAGTTTAAAAAATGCATCATGATCTTCTACAAATCACAATTTCCAAGAAACTGACAAAAACTGATGAAAATCTTCTGTATAATATACTAAACTAAATCCCATAAATTTTGCAAAAATGAAATACGAGTTGCACTTTATAATAAGTAGATAATTATTCTGTTTTAAATGTTATTTTTGCATTTTAATTTTGTTGTTTTTGTAAAACAAATTGCGTATGTACTTGACTTTGATAATTATACATTACCGTAATGACTAAGGACAAGGATTTTTTTAATTAGTATGTTTTTCCGGAAAAACCAAGTGGAAAATGACTTCTTGAATGAAATATTTGCCAAATCATTTTTTTAGGAATTTATGACTACATAAAGGGTAAAGGGCATAAAAATTTATTATTTTTTTTTTAATGATATATTTCTAAAATAGCAATAAAATTAATCTTCTTGGTTGCTTTGCAATTAATATAGAATTTTCAATCAATTTAAATTTATATATATATATATATATATATATTCAGATTAAAAAGAAATTATTAGATGGAAATTTGCAAGACAAAATTTTTTTGTTTTGTTTTTTCAAAATATTAATAAAAGAAAAAACTAAATAAATTCGGATTAATATAAATTTCCTTCGAATACTCTTGTATTTCGAAGTATTCTTAATAAAAATGTGTTTAAAATACACTTTATTTAGCAAAAAATATGAAATTATTTCAGTACAATTCTAAAATATTGTTATTCTCTCATCTTGCTCTTGATTTACCAAAAAATATTGTATTAATATTGTTTACATATCTATCGATTTGTGACTAATTTTGGTTTACTTGAGTTTTTGATAATTAAAATTCGTGAAGGAATATTCTTATTTAAAAAGGTAAAATCGAATTAAAAAAAATCATAGAAATATTTCATATCTTTAATGTTTTAACATTTTTTTATGTTCGTTTGTATATTTCGAAATTACGAAAATTTTACATTATTAAATGTGAAATCACAATAATTTTACAATTTTGTATTATACAAAAGTTTTATTTAATAAAAAAAGGTCACCAAAATTTACAAATGTAAATTATAAAATTATATTACTCATCTGAATAAAATTAATAAAATGCTGAAAATGTGCAAAAAGTATATTGATTTTTTTTGTACTCCTTTATTTATGATTTATTGAACAAATTTTCATTGTGGCAAATTTGAATGAAAAATTAAATAAAATAATCATCAATAATAATCTTAATAATATGATTTAAATTGAAACATAAATAAAAAACGGTTCAGACGTCCTTAAGCAAACATCGATGCAAGCTCTAATTTTGACATACGCCAAAAAAACGATATGAATTTTTGCAAACTTTGAAATTTTTTTAAAATTAAACGATTTGTTGCATGTTTTAGTACGATCTATAAGACTATGGTATCTACCGTCAAAAAAAATCATAAAAATCATCGAAAAAAAATTTTAACACTTTATTACAAGAAAACAGCCCGGCCGATCTTTACCAAAAATTAATCAGCATTGTTCCCAACCAATATCTTTCTTACGGTTTTTGAATCTTCAAAATCGATTAAAACATGGACATTTTTTTCAATTTTCTGCCATTTACAAAGAAACGGCTTGGCTGATCGTCGCATAAAATTGATAAACACAAGTCTTCATCAAGATACATCAAATGGCTTAAATTTTTTAAATCGGTCTTTGATGAAAACAAACTTCTCTTTTGGGAAGTTAAAAAAGTTAAAAATACTATAAATTTTGTGTTAAGAATTTCTGTTTGTATTTTCATATTTTTTATTTGGATACTTTTTGTATCAATTTGCATTAAAAGTTAAATAAAAAATAAAATAGGTTATTCATCACCACCATGTGTATTGATATAAATAACATTATTGGTGCATTACATATCTTTTGCTTTGCATTAATTATAAATACACAAAAAGTGCATAAGTTACTATTTATTGCATTTTTTTATTATTTGAGATCAATCAAAATTCACAACATCCTTCTCCTCCATTTTGCCCCTCAAAAAAATTTTTTCTCACCACTTAGTCCTTTACTATTATTATTAGTATGGAACCCTAGCCTCCGTTGGAGGTCCTTTCCTCGCATTTGTTTCAGAATTATCAAATAGGGCTTCAAAAGCTTTTCCTATATTCTGGACAAGTTCATCCAATCTTTCAAAAAGTTCAGAATCAGAAGCTCTTCCATGTTGGTCAATTGGTGCTCCTCGGATCAGACGTAGGGTTACATCTTTTCCTAGGTCAAAACTATCACGAACTAAGGGTTCTGCTAAATTTATGGCACGAATTAAAGTCTTTGCTCCGAAATCGATGGAATCCTTCACAAAACCTAATTAGAGGAAATTGGAATTAAAAAAAAATTATGGAGGTTCAGAAATTGGAGGTTGTCTATTTTATGATGACATTGGATCAGAACAAGAGTAAACGTACAACCAAAAGAATATTTCACAAAACTTCACAAATGTCCAATATATCATGTTTAAATTTGTAACAGTTAGTTACATAAGGATAACTAGTAAATCCTATATTTGCAATAATTTTACAGTCCAATATTCAATAACACAAATAGTTCTGAACAAAATTTAACCAATTTATCATCTATTATAAAATATTATAATTTCTCACCAGTGTTAAAAATATTATTTTCAGAACCTCTTGGTGATTTTTTCATCACCAAATTACCCGATCTTTTAGCTTTCCTTCCTTGTTTTAAATTTGCAGCCGAAGCCAAGGCTATACAAGCCACAAAAAGTAAAATAATTGATAATTTCATTTTTTATCCCACTTCTGTTCACTATTTAGTTACAAAGTTTAAATGAATGAAAAGCCTAATGTAAGAATATATTTATATAGTAAGTATTTTAAAATTTGAATTGCAAATGAAGGTAGTATTTAATTCCAGAATTTTTGTTATGACGAAAACTGGTTTAAATTGCACTATTTTGTCCTGGTAATGAGGAAATAGATTTAGATAATTACTTTTTATTACGCATATTTTTTAATGGGTTTTACTTGCGTTTGTAAATAGTGTTATTATTGTTTCATTTGAATGTCTATGCAATATAAATGCAACTCGTTTTTTTTCATTAAATTTACTATATAGTAATGTCTACACACAATTTATGGCCTCAAAACTATTGTAAAGTGCAAAGAAACTAAAAAATTCAACAACTTCAATTATTTCATTGGATTGGATTTTTTTTATTATTTATTATTCCAAAATACCAAAAAAAGGAATTTTAAAGGCATATTTCTTTATAATTTTTAAGAAGTTCGAATTGTAGTAACGTATCACAAATATTTTTTATAACTCATCGTTTTAGTGAAAAATCGTTTTACTAATAGTAAATACCAATAGCTTTATATAAAACTTAATATTTGGGTTAATTTTCTATATAATGAACTTAATATATTGTTTTTGGAACCGCAACATTTTAACAACTATCAAGAACAAACTTTATAAAATCAAAATTAAGACAAATTTTGAAAAATCCAAAAACATTCATAAGTACATATTATTCTTAAGTACATTTATTCGTATAAAACTCCAAACTTCGCAAAATTAAAAAGTCTGAAGCTTGATAGTCTCTAAATTTAAAATTTAGAAGTGTCTAAACTTCTCAATGTCAAAAAAAGTCTTCAAACTTTTGAAGTGTAAAAAGTTTCTAAATTTTTATAGTTAAAAGGTTTTCTAATTTCTAAAGTATAAAATATCTTAAATTTCTTGAGTGAAAAAGTCAAAATTTCTGAATAAGAAAGTCTTCTAACTTTTAATGTGTAAAGGTCTCTGAACTTCTACGAAAAGTATTAAAATTTCTCAAGTATAAATGTCTCTAAACTTCTAATGTTTAAGAAGTCTCCAAACTTTTAAAGTTCAAAATTCTCTAACTTTTCAATTTAAAAGTCTCTAAAATTCTAAAGTAGAAAAAAGTCTCCAAACTTTTGATGTTCAAAATTCTCCAAACTTCTAAAGTTCAGAAGATTTCCAATCTTTTAGAATTAAAAGATCTCTAAACTTCTAATGTATAAAAATTTTCGAAATTTCTAGAATTAAAAGGTCTCAAAATTTCTAAAACAGAAAGTCTTTAAACTTTTAATGTTTAAAGGTCTCTAAACTTCTAATGTTGAGAATTGTTAAAATTTCTCAAGTCAATATGTCTCAAAACTTCTGAATTTTAGAGGTCTCTAAACTTTAGGAGTTAAAAAGTCTCATAAGGTCAAAAGTGCAAAAAGACGTGCAAACTTTTAATGTTTACAAGTCTCTGACCACCTACAAAATAGAAGTCTCCAAATTTATCAAATAGAAATAACTCTAAACTTTCATTGTTTTCCAAACATTTAAAGTTTTAAGGTCATCAAACTTCTAAAGTTTTAAGGTCTCTAAACGTCTACAAGATAAGAAGTCTAAACTTTTAGAGTTTCAAAGTCTAAACTTTTGAAGTTTAACGCCTCTTCTACAAAATTAAAAAAAAAATTCACACAAAATATTTTGTCGTTATTTTGTGCTTTTAAAACTTCATTTTTTTTTAAATATGGATTTTAATTTGTTAATATTTTTCTCAAACATTTAATTATACAAAAAAATATCAAATATTTATGTTATTGCAAAAAAAATTATGAAAATCTTCAAATTTAGTTTAATTCAGTTACTTTGTGATGACAAAAAATCATTCGAAACCAATCAATATTTTAGGTTTCTAAATATAAAAATAAAAACATTTTTTTTCTTCCGTAATATTTATTAAAACAATATTTATATAAATAAATTACATGATATCAGTGCAGAATGCATATAAAAATATAAATATTAATTGCACATCCAAACTTATAGACTTTTTGGTGCATTTGTTGCGGAAGTTGCTGCGTGCTAATTTATAAAATTATTCTTGATCATATTCTTCGAATGTTTTCCAAAGACTTCTACATAAGTTTAGCCAATAGAGTTTCATAAGCCTTGACAGCTCCACTTTTCAGTTTGTCGAAACGTTGGAAAAGTTGGGTGTCTGAAGCACGATTTGAAGGACCATCCTGAAGAAGTCGAATTGCGATGTCGTGTCCAAGGCTGAAACCATCACGAACTAAAGGTTCGATTAAGGATACAGCTTTGTTTAAGGTCTCTGCTCCATTGTCGATGGTTTTCTTGATGTAATCTGATATAATTGGAGTAGAAAAATTGTGTAAAATTTATTGTAGCTCCTGCACAAAAATCCACGTCAATACTAACTAAATCCTCACACCTCCACCAAACCTCGGTAACTTTTTTTGACCAAAATATATACATTATTTTTAATGACAATATGCTATTTATGTCTATATGCATTCAAAAAGTTCATCTCCAATGAGATATCTCATTTTGATCTTAAAATATGAACATGAAAATGTGTCGTGTGCAATAGGTAATATGATGTGGAAGGGCATTATGGTGCTTCAATTTCTTTAATTATGTTGGTCTTTATGTATTTAAAAAGTTTATCTCTAATGAGATGATATCTGGTTTTGATTTTAAAATATGAACGTGGAAATGTTTCATGTGCAATTTCAGGTGACATGATGTGGAAGGACATTATGGTGCTTTTTCTGATTGAAGAACTAGTTATTTTACCATACTCGAAACTACAATCTAAATTCATTTACTAAGATAAATATAAATATGCACTCATGCAACCTTCTCACAAAACTTTGAATCCAATAAAATTGCAGGACTATTTCCAATATCAAATAACAATTTTATTATGCTTGCAGCTTTCTGATGATACCTTGATAACACATACGTGAAGTTAGGTTTTATGTGTAAAACGCCTAATCGCATAGCAAATACTTAGTACTTGATAAATCAAATAATTAGTACATAATGAAGCAAATAATTAGTATTTAACTTTTTGACACTTTATTCCTATCAACTCATACGTAGATGGTCCCGTAACATAGCATTACCAGATCGTACCTATTTTTTAGGTAAATTGGCATCTAAATCAGACGTTTTTTTTTTGTTTTAATTTATTTTTTGTTAATCAAGACTAAAATGTTTTACTTATAAAATTGATAGGTATGTGAACGTTAAATTCATAAAAAAAATTATAAGATCTTTTAAAAGTATATTTTACTTGTGGAATTTTTTTGATTGAAAATAATCTTTTTAGTACGTTGCTCCAATTTTTATACAAAATGCAACTTTTATCTTCTGCATAAAAATTTCAAAATTATTTTCGTGAATAAAAATTTAAATTTGGGAAACAAATATGTATTCATATAGAGAACTATAAAGGTATGCATCCAAATATGAGTAATACGAACATTTTTATGTAAAATTCTGTTCATGTATGAAAATACAAGAAAAATTTCAAAGATTTCAAATTTTTACAAACTTTGAAAAAAATTACATTATTGAGAATTTTGGAGAACAGTTATTGAAAAAGTTTACAAGAGTACCATTGAACCAACTGGTAGATTTATTTAATAATAAAATTAAAACTTGATATTGTAATTTTTTCTCGAACAGAATATCAACCTTTGGACTTTCTGATGACTGATGAAATTAGTACTATCCAATCTCTGGCCCAAAGAAATAATTAATAAAAATATTAATACAAATATAGAAGAAAATCCAATTGCTGGTTTCAATATTGAAAATATTTCCTTGAAATTGATAAAATTCGGTCTATGGTAACTTTATTAGATAGTTCAATTAAAAATGGCTCAAGAAAAATCAATGTGTCAAAGAATTTTTTTTGCCAAATTCCTGGAAAAATGCCTTTTTTCGTACCATATGACTTGCATGGCCCTATATAAAATTTGTTTCTCATTCCTCAACAAATTGTGTATGTGGCAAATATATGTCTAACATGGCTCATATAGAACTTTCTAGCGTCAGACACATATGACTGACACAAAAATTAACGTGTTAAAACGAATAAAATATTTTTATATCTTCACCTGCATCAAGATAATTAGTAGCAGAACGAGTCTGTTGTCCTGGTGCCTTCCTACTGAAGGGTTTAGAAGCTTTTCTTTCTTTTTTACCAGGTCCAGAATTTGCTGCTGAAGCCAAAGCCACGCAAACAACAACCAACAAAACTACTGACAATTTCATTTTGTATTTTTTTAAATTACTTTTTTCCAAGAAAACTTTTTACTAGAACGTAAGAGTTGAATGAGGGTGATGTAGAAGTTCCCAGTATTTATAGGAAGATCAGGGAAGAAATTTGAATTGCTAATCCAGATTATTTTCGAAGAAATTAAAATTCATGTAATTACAGTAATTGTTTATAGTATCATTACTTTGTTTCAGATATCTTTTGTGCAATTTTCAGCTAATCATGGATTTGATTGCTTTGAAAATTTTGCATATTTTTGATAAGGTTAAATGGTGCATGATATTTCAAAAACTTGTTGTTGTTTATAGTGTAATTAATAATATCTTATCTTAAAGAAATTGTTTAATTGAAGGTTACTGAATCAAAAATATGAAGACAAAAAAGGTAAATTATGAAGAAAGAAGTCTCCAGAATTATTTTTGAGCAATTTTGTTATAAAAGACATACCACGCCAAAACAGGTAAATTATGAAATTGTGAAGAAGTTATAATTAATAATAATTAAAAATATATAATTATTACCTAGACTAACAAAGAAAAGTTTTAATAGGATTATTAGCAATTTGAAGAAAATTAAACTATGTCTTTAAATTTTCGACGAGTTTTCCATACGTTTAGAATCCCAGTCTGACTCATCATTAATTTATAAAACACTCAATTACCTAAACCACAAATATTGAACAAAAAACTTGAAAGAAATTCATATTTATGAAACAGATTTTTTTTAATTTTGTAATTTTTTTATTTTTTTATTTTAAGTTTAAATAAAATCAAGTGTGAACAACAACTAACAGTTTTCTGGAATATTACTTTTTTTTTTAATATTGTAATTGGTTTTATTTTTCAAATTGTAAAGTGATTTATAATAAAATTTAGATTAACTTATTAAAAATTATGAATTGTCCTATTAAAAATTCTAAATTGGGTTATTGCTAATTAACTTAGTAAAAATATTTTATAAATTTCTGTATATATATAACCAAATTTCGGTATATAATATTTGGGTTCTATTATATAATATAAAAAAGTATATAAAAGTTCAATCAATATCATCAATATTTTTGTTATTAGCTCAATTGTTAAAAATTATTTTTTAGTATGTTCAACAATTTCCATAAAATTATTACCAATTTATATAAATATAATATAAATTGAAATATTTTTTCAATTATATTTTAATTCTAAATTTGCATAAAGATTGGGAATTTGTGATCACAAAAAATCAATAACAGAATTTAATTAAAATTTGGTTAAGATTATAAAATATTAACAAATATTGCAAAAAATAGATGTGAATTAGTTAATTTTGATTTAAATAATTATATATTCGAAAGATAAATTAATTTAAAAAAAATACGAAATTGAATTGATAAAATATCATTGAATATTGCTACAAATAAATGTGAATTAGTTAATTTTATTCAAATAATTAGATATCCGAAGGATAATTTAAATTTAAAAAACTACGAAATTGAAAACATAAACAAGCTATTTTCCAAATGCGTATTAAGTTAAATTTGTACACGCAAATCTAATAGTGTAATCATTTTGAAAAATAATACCAAGGCTAAAGCATTTTACATAATAGAAAAAAAATAGAATAAAAATACTGACTGTATGAGTTTCATACATAATATTAGTGTAAAGTGCTCTAAACCGTTATTTTCTAACAAATTGGTCACTTTTTTAGATTTAAGTAAATTATTAAACTATCATTGAATGGATTTAATTTATAAGACTAATTTAGATAATTTGATCCAGAATTCTGCTACAGTCTTAAAAAAACAATGAAGAATTTAAAATTAAAGTGTCTCATATTGCCCATTTTTTTCTTAAATTCCAAAGAACATTTTTGTATTTTACAATAAGTAGTGTAACAAAAAAAATTAAATTGCAATGCATACTTTTTTATTAATTATTTTTCAAATAATAATTTGTGTTTTTTGTGTGCAAGGATTCAAAACTAAAGAGGAGCTTCAAAATCCAGAAACAAATGAAGTACTGGATCAACAAAATATTATTTATTCAGGTGAGTTAATTTTTTGAAAATGCAAAATAATTTTTGTATTATAGTAGACAAAATAATTTCTAAAAAACAAATGTTTTTAATTTGGTAGATCTATAAATACTTGAAGAAATTTTCAAAGAATGCCTAATATATATTTTTGTATTATGGCAGACAAAATAATTTTAAAAATTATGAATCTGTTCAGCATATTCAAATATCTTAGAGACATTTTCCTCTAACAATCCAAAATGTATATCTTTATATCCTATTAGACATAATTATTTTCCAAATAAGACATTTTTTCCGAAAATCTTAGAAATTTTTTTTCGAATTATTCAAAATATACGTTTTTATATCCTAATAGACATAATAATTTTCAAAATAGATTTTGATATTTCTATAAAGCCTATCAAATTTTCTAAGAATTTAAAAAACAACTTTTTGCATTGAAGGTAAACAAGATAATTTCCAAATAAAATCTGTTTTTATTTTTGCAGATCCAAAAATCATCAAAGAAATTTTCGAGGAATCCAAAATATATCTGAAAGAACTGATAGTCCTTTCAGGATATTTAATCAAAGGCCTCGTAAAACAAAATGATGCACAATTTAATAAGAAACTTCATAGAAGATTAAGAAGATTCGTCTTCGATACCTTGAAATTTATCACAAAATCAACTTATATACTAAAAAGAAGTTCCAGATTTTGAAATTGTATCTGGATTATGCAACACAATAAGGTTAGCAGCGAATGTGTTAAAAAAATGATTTAAAAAATTTGAAAATATTTTGTTGAAATTGTAGTTGAGATTTTAAAATTGTATCTGAATTTTGCTGATTTAGGTATTTAGCGAAAATAATTTTGGGCAGGTATTACTTTAACACATTCACTGCAGCGCACGCATATGTAGCGTGAGACTGTTGCTAATAAATATAATTATTTATGCTATTAATAAAAAAAAATCAGATAACATGTCTAAAAATGACTTTATTTAATATTAAACGAATAAGAAAGTTCAACAGAGAGCGAAGTAATAGCAAACCAATGTTAGCAGTGAAGACGTCAAAGAAATAATCAAGAAAATTTAAAAATACTTTGTTAAGTGTTATATTTTAATTCGTTGAAAATCCGTCTCAATTCTCAACCTTAGCAATTTAAATTAACCACTTTTTTTGTCTATGAAGGCGTTTGTTAACGCAAAGACTAGAAACGTAGTAATTAATCGAGATAAATATATACATCAGAAGCTTTCACAATCTTTGTATTCCCACGCAAATTATTTCAGTAACATAGAAAACAGAATATATATATATATACTAAATTTATTAAAAGCAACATTTAGATCATTATTCGTGTAATTCTATACAGGCTGTGCATAATCTGTAAAGACGCTCGTTTAATTATATCGGATTTGTCAAAGTCTATTTATTCCTCATAATGATAATAATCTGCAGATATCCTTATACAATATCAGTCTGCTTTTGATATTAAATCAGAATATTACGATATTAATGTTTAGTTAATAACACATAACAAATTCTTTACGTTGTTTTAATGTTTTCCGCATTAAACAGAGGGTCTATCTGTGCTCAAATTCACCACTCTTTTTAAAAAACTTATTCTCTCACTATTATACACGTACTTTAAACGTTTAATATTTTTTACTATATATTTAACATATTTGTGATTTAGTTGAAAATATATTTTATCCTCGTATGTATTGTTCCCATTTTAAGAAAACTCTTTTGTAATGATGTATGTAAATATACTCCTCCTAAACGATTATTTGGACTTTGATAAATCTTTCAGTAGTTTGTTAAGGAAATTTTTAAGGATGTACGTGATCATAATACTATAGCAATATTGTAAAAATAAATGGAAAAAATTGTAACAAACAACATATAATTGTTTGACATTGAAAGCATTTCGACACATGAGAACTGTTATTTAGCAAAAATGTCGATTTGTTTGAAATTTGAATTTTGTTTAAGCAAACCTAGGCAATATTAGTATATAATATCCATAATCATGATTTATGGATAAGCAAAATGTAATATCCACAATATTATTGCCAAAAACCAGTTGAGATTTGCGAGAAAATAAAACAATATAAGATGTACAATATATGTTTGGCAGATGAAATTATATAATTTAGTTTAATAAGTAACACATTAAAATTGAGATAATAGCAAAGCGGTCGTGTATGCTATATTAGTTTTAAACTTTCTGGTGTTGGTATTTGAATGTAAATAATTTGATATGTATTTAAAAAAAGTCCATTGTAATATATTTCCCCGTGCATTAGTTTTTTTTTTTAGATTTTAAAATGATCATTAAATTATGTATTTATCATAAATAATTTATTAAACAACTAGCACTTACCCTCAGATTTCCTCCTCGGGCTGTATCTTCTCCTAAAATCATTTTTACCAAAGTTTTGAACACAACAGTTGGTGTGAAACTTGGATTTTGTTCCTGGAGAAAGCACATTCTTTTGCTGAGAAAATGGAACGAAAAGTGTGGAAGAACCTGAAAAATTAAAAAATAACTGAAATTGAATAATAGCAATGTACAGTAAGGCAAATTTCTAAGTAATATTTTTATAGTAGGTTTTTAAGTTTATGGGAAATATACTGTATAATTTTTAGCACCTGGAATTTTTTAAAGAAAATGTCAAAATATCCCTGATGAATCATACTATACTGGATCTAATATCTATATATTCGGGTTTTTTACCATTTTTTGTCCACAGTTAGAAACATTTAAAGTTATTTAAGAAGTTAAATAGAACTTCTTTCAATAATTTTACAAAATTTTCGAAAAACCAAAAACTGAAATTTAAAAAATATAAAATTATCTATATTCAAGTATTATGAAAATATAAAAGTATGAACAGTGTAAAAAAAATAAAACCATGAAGCAGTTTCATTCTAAGTCTAGAAAATTACCCACTCTCATCGAAACTTTTTAAATGTCAAAAATATCCCTGATGATCATACTATACTGGATCTAATATCTATATTTCGGGTTTTTTACCATTTTTTGTCCACAGTTAGAAACATTAAAGTTATTTAAGAAGTTAAATAGAACTTCTTTCAATAATTTTTCAAAATTTTCGAAAAACCAAAAACTGAAATTTAAAAAATATAAAATTATCTATATTCAAGTATTATGAAAATATAAAAGTATGAACAGTGTAAAAAAAATAAAACCATGAAGCAGTTTCATTCTAAGTCTAGAAAATTCCCACTCTCATCGAAACTTTTTCAGATGGAGCTAATGTTTATGAAGCTGGTAAAGTAAATGGCTAATGCTTTTTTGTTTTAATCAAACTCAAACTTACAGTTTTGATATAATTCAAATGAAATAAAAAAAATATCAAAAGATATTCAATGATCCATAATACCTTTAAGTATTGTAAATAAATTCGAAATAATTTAGAAACAAACTCCAAACTATATTGAATAAAACGGTTCAAATTAGACTCCACAAAAAGAAAAATACACCCCAAATTATCTCCAGAGTAATTTGTATAAATTTTTGAGAACAAAATCAAATTCTGATCATTTGTGAATGTTGCAAGTAGTTTATTTCCTTTTTATTTGATTTCTTTAGGACAAGATGAACAGATTTGCTTATTTCTTAAAAAGTGCCAGTCAAATACCACATTCATATCAATCTAAATATTTTAGCTATCTTAAATTGTGCTTTCTAATTAAAATACAAGAAAAAACTTAGCAGGATTAATAGTTTTTTTAATATTATTAATTTAATTATTTAAATTTTAATTAGTAAGTAGAAATTATTTCTACTTTTGCCATTTCCACAGATGATAGGTGGCAATTTTCTTGATGAATTCTTCATATCACTTAGAGAAGATGTCAACACATCTTCAGAATCCAAAGTTTTTAGAACTGAACATCCATTTACATGGATTTCGCAATCGGCTGCTTCGTTTGTTGATACTTGAATATGCAACTGTAAAAAAAAATATTAATAAATTTTTGAAATTCAAAATAAATACCAAGGCCCGTTTATACATATTAAAAACTGTTCAAATTTGCGTTATTCACATTTTATTTCAATTATGTTCAAAAAATCTAATTTTAATATTTAAACATAACATAAAAAGTATAATATTGCAAAGTTAAATATTCATATTTGAATTTAACGGCTCATAGAATCCATCCTGAAGTGTGAGCTCTATGGATTAGCAAAATATTGTCCTGTCCATACAAGGACAATTATATCTATGGCCAATCAGAATTCAGCGTTGTCATGTTGAAGATATATCAGCAGAAGATTGTCTGATGTTAATGGTGTTTAATGAAGTGATATCAGTGTTTTGTTATATTAATTTCTAATAGTAAGTAATATATTAGTGAAAATTGTATTGTAGTTGTACGGTTATCAGCATAAACCAAGTGCAAGATTAGATGTAAGTATTAGAATGCTAGAAGTATTTTTATTGATGTGAGTCTATATGAAAATGACAAGTAAAATTTTGAGTGCAAAAATTTAAGTTTGGATTAGATAGTTGTAGAGAACATATTTATGTAGTTTACTCAAATGTATTTGTAAGTATTGATGATTATGGATATAGTCATAAACGTTCAAAATTATAATAAACATATTTGTATTATGTTAGGGTTAGGCGAGGTAACTCAAAAAACATTTAACAATTCAAAAACAACTCAAAAAACAATTATTGGGAAGGCAGGTCTAGCGGTTTCGGAGATCTAGTGAAAAAGTAATAAGAATATGTCATTTAGCGGTCCAAAATGATCATTAGACATAAGCACATGAAATTATATGATATTTTATGGAGATTTCAATAATACGTATGAATTTTGTTTACATTTCTATGGGTTCCGTAACATCGTTTGTCCGTTGGACGGCGACGCGGCGCTTACGCGCTTTGATATTTCGTCTCTATGTAGATAAAGAAGTGCGATTGCTTCGAAAAAAAAGTTCAAAATTTTCAAAATATTTTAAAATAAAAAAAAACTTTTTTCCAAAAATCAATTTTTTTCAGAAATTTAAAATTTATCAAAAATATTTTTTCAAAGTTAAAAAAATATTGAATCTTTTTTTGAAAAAAATAATTTTTGGTACGAAAAGTTCCAGCAATTTACCTTAAGGCCCGATGCCATAAACCACTAGTTTTTTTTAATAAATCCTTATTTTAAAAAAAATCCTTAACTCACTACTACTGGCTACTACTTGGTTCATGGATGTTCAACTCTCACACTATGAACCACAAAAATGGGCACAAATAAAATATTTGTACAAAACACTCAGTGCACTAGTCTAACACACATTCATTCACATTTTATTTATATTTTGTGTATAAAAAATCACCATAATCATTATATTATTAACAATAGTATTAATTCGAAACTGATCAAGTTTCCAATGATGACTGGACATTCACTTGGTCGATAATCTGGTTAAATGAGGAAATACTTCTACAGTAATTAGCACAATTTCTCAAACTAATAACGAAAAACATTAGACGATATTTGTTATTAATGGCAAAAATATTTGTTTATCGATTTTGTGACTTGGAAATCTGTTAATTGAGACATTAGCAATATTTGTAATGATGCAGATTTCATCCTTGCTTCTATTTGTAATATTAATTTAACAAATATTGTTATGCATTAATATTTAAATAGTTACCGAATTAATTTAGATTTTTTTTTTATTATTGGAAATAATTGGCTGTATTTATAAAAATTTGTGGCTGTCAAATAATAGGTTAAAATTTGCAATAAAATTGGCCTTATGATAAAATCATCCACTAAATAAAAAGTCTTACAAAAATTAGTTGAATTGAAAAAATGCATTAAAATTTGGAATGATCGGAATTTTAGAACATCAATTATCGGAATAGTTAACTCACTATTATAATATAATGTAATTCATAAATATTATGTACTTATTATTAGTTAGTAAAAACATTGAAATTTTGAATCATCTTGTGTTTTGTTTTTGTTCATAGAATTTTTTTTAATTACAATATTTGTTACAACTGCTAAATATTTTAACATCTATTAACAAAAATGAACAATAACAAATTTAAATAAAAAAGAGTATAAAATGAAGGATAGTATTTTCATTAAAATAATATCCGTAGTATGATGATTTAATATAAAATAAAAGTAAATAATAATAATAAAATTAATAAATAAAATAGAAACAATTAGCACAATTTCACAGAATAATTATTCAAAATTTAAAGAAAAATTTATAATTACAGGAAAAAATTGTCTGTGAATTCTGTTCCACGTGTAATGTGCTAATTGAGATTTTCCAGATAAAATAATTAGTGTAGTTTTCCTTCTAACTTAAGTTCTTGATTAAAACAACAAATTAGTTGCACAATAATTAGCACATTTACTGACTTAATAAGCACCATTGTATATATTATTCAGAATTATTTGCACAATTTCTTGTACTAATAAAAATATTTATATTTACTGACAAAAATATTTGCTTATTGAATTTAACACGTGTTTGTTGAAGATCCTGAAAACTTAAAAATATTTTTAGCTGTCCATTAATAATGAAATCTTATTTTTAACTAATGAGGTTGTTTTATTTTTATAAATGCCAATGATCTTTCGTATTGAAAAGTTTTTATTTGGAAATTTTTATAAAAAAATTGATTACATTTTATCATAGAGCAAGTCATAGAGCAAGTCATATGATCTATAAGTCTTTATGAATATCAATGATAAAAACTAATTTGAATCAGTTTTTGAAAATTTAGATTTTTTCTTACAGTTGATGTCTGACTTCATGTACGATATACCAATAAAATTAATGAAGTCGTATACCAATATACTATATTTTTGAGAACGTTGTAAATTTAAAAAAAAAGTTTTAGCTGTTTTAGAGATAAAATATCAAAGCGCGTAAACGCCGCGTCGCAGAATAACGGATAAACATTGGTACGAAAATGTAAACAAAATTTGTACTTGATAATTATTATTAATTTGATATGCATATGCCATGATTATTTTTGACGCCCAAATGACATTTTTTCATAGAATCTTCGAAGCTGCTGGACCTGCCTTCTAAAAAATCCAATCAGTTCTTCATTTCATCAATACAAATAAAATGTTTTTGAATCATTGAATTCGGACCCTCTTTTATCTCAAAAAAAAACAATATTATTTTTGGCACTTTTTCTCAGCACGTCTCCTGATCAATAAGTTTCGAATGTTTTTCGAATCATTCAAATCGGTTGATCAGTGTTCACGAAATCGTCGACGAAAATTTGTATCCGCACATACATACATAAACACACAAACACACAAATATCAATTTTTTCTAAGGTATGCCAAAATGCTCAGAAACCTTTGAAACGATAAGATCTCATTTTTTGGTGATCAATATCAGTATATCTTCAAAGTTCAAAATAACTTTAAATTCAAAATTTTTCTAAAAATATTTAATTAGTGGTTTAGCTTTTATAAATATTATTGTTTTTTTTGTATTGAAAAATTACTGCATTTTATATAAATATATGAAATATATATTAAATTTAATAACATAAAAATATCAATAAGAAGTAAAATAATACAAGTATATCACTAAAATAGTATAATGCTATAATGTCGCACTAAATATTTTTGTCAGTAAATATAAATTTTTTTATTAGTACAAGAAATTGTGCAAATAATTCTGAATAAATTACAATGGTGCTTATTAAGTCAGTAAATTGTGCTAATTGTTGTGCAACTAATTTGTTGTTATAATCAAAAATTTAAGTAAGAAGGAAAACTACACTAATTATTTTATCTGGAAAATCTCAATTAGCACATTACACGTGGAACAGAATTTACAGACAATTTTTTCCCCTGTATTCATAAATTTTCTTGAAATATTAAATAATTATTTTGTGAAATTGTGCTAATTTCTATGGAACCAAATACAAGATAATTTAACATTTAAACGTTTTTACTAACTAATAATAAGTACATAATATTTATGGCACTTTATATACACATATTGAAAACTGATACAAAGCATTATTCAACTTTTTTTTCAATTATTTATATTCAGGGAATCTAATTTTAATATTTAAACATAACATAAAAAGAATTATATTGTAAAGTTAAATATTCATATTTGAATTTAACGGCTAATAAAGTCCATCCTGAAGTGCGAGCTCTATGGATTAGCCAAATATTGTCCTGTCCATACAAGGTCAATTATATCTATGGCCAATCAGAATTCAGCGTTGTCATGTTGAAGATATATCAGATGAAAAAGGTTGTGAGTGCTTGCTTTCTGATGGTTAATGGTGTTTATTGAAGTGATATCAGTGTTTTATTATATTAATTTCTAATAGTAGTAATATATTAGTGAAAATTGTATTGTAGTTGTACGGTAATTACAATAAACCAAGTGCAAGATTAGATGTAAGTATTAGATGCTAGAAGTGTTTTTATTGATGTAGCTCTATATAAAATGACATGTGAAAATTCTGAGTACAAAAATTTATGTTTGGATTAGATTGTTGTAGAGAACATATTTATGTAGTTTACTCAGATATATTCGTAACCACTAAAGATTATGGATGCAGTCTAAAGGTTTAAAATTGTAATAAAAATATATTATAATAGGGTTATGCGGGGCACAAATTGACCTTGAACGGGGTTTCCAATTTGACCTTGAACAATTATATTTGGAAAACCACACCAATCACAACACAACAAATACCACAACTGCGATCTACTGAATATGTTCAGTAAAACTCGAAGTTAATTGTAGAAATGAGTTTTTTTTTGCTGTTTTTCAAAAATTTTGCACCTAGTCATATATACTTTTTACCTTAAACGGGGTAAAATGGGACAGCCAGAAGGCAAACAGGTCCAATATCTTATTTTTAATTTTAAAGGGATTTTACAAAATAATAGCTACAAAACAAAATAAAAATTTATTGGGTCTATTTTTACAGAGATAACTTTGTATATAACCCTGACCTAGTGTTTTCGAATGTTTATGAAAACTATTTTTTTTTAAGCAATCGCTATTTCAAACGTTGCGTGGCTGTATTAAGAAAAATACCGAAGCGCGTAAGTACGAAAAACATAGGTGAAACTGCAAAATTTGTACTTAATATCAAAATTTCTATAAATTGGTCGACTCTTTGATGTACATCTGTCTAATGATCATTTTTGACCATTTTAAATCATGCAAATCGGTTGATCCGTGTTCACGAAATCGTCGACGAAAATCGGAAATAAAAGTTTCAAGAGGATTCTGAATATTTTGGCATACCTTAGAATAAATGATGTATGTGTGTGCAGTTTCTGAGACACAGAGGAAAAAGTAAGAAAAAAATTATATTTGGCGGTCAAATATGATCATTAGACAGATGCACATCAAATTATCAGATATTTGAAAATGAAATGAATTTTGTTGGGTTCCGTACCAAGATTGTTAATTTTTGAGGTTTACTTATACAGATCAAGCTAAATTCAAAATTTTCAAAAAAAAAAATTCAAAAATATACAACATGCTATACTTTGAATATAAATTATAAATTTGCAATTCAATTTCAAAATGCATATATTTCAAATACGTTATTCTAATACAAAGAAATATATCCTCAGACGGATTCATGCGGCACCTCTTGCTAAAGTAAACTTTCTCAAGTGGAAAGATAAGATCCTTAATGTATATTTTATGAACGATAAAATATATAGTAATTATAATTATCTTTTGAAAATGTTTAAAACACTTGTTGTAAATCATTGATCAATTTTTATTGGTTACTGAATTTTTTCCCTCGAATATTTAATTCTGGTACGGGAAGTTCCTTCAATTTGCCTTTTGCACCACTAGTTTTAATTATTTACTTATATCAATGCATTGCATCTATGGTTACTATCTTTTAAAATTGCATGAATATTTTTTAATAGGTTGACAACCCCAAAAAACAAAAGACTACATACTCCGTGCAAAATCAATCGTAGACATTTCGCAAGAAAATCATGTAAGTATAAAAAGCTTAATTGTCTAGTTATAATTGAATAATAAAATAAATCCTGAAAATTCTACATAGTTGGTGTTGGTGCTTAGTCAAAATACAAGATGAATCAAAACATGAACAAAATGCCAATTGATCTAAGAATTAACTTTACAACTTGGACCCAAACTTGTAATAAGGTCGAATTGGTGTTTCGACTGTCGAGGCCTGTCAGAGACAATGAGTTCATCTTCGTCGATTGTGACGACAATTTTTTTTATGTTTATATTATGTCATACGACGAAAGTGGCAAATCAGAAGTTAAAAAGACTTACCGGTATCCGACATTCAAAAAACTAAAAAAGGGAAACTGCACAATCGATTTTGATAACGATTTTTTGAATGTGCATTTAGTTAAGGGTTTTAATGAACGATGGAACTTCTGGCAGAAGACTTTTTAGACAAAGGTGAGATTCGTATTAAAATATATGCGATTTGATTAAATTTATGTAATAGGAAAGACTGGGTACGGTTGTGCCACGTTATGGTATTGACAGTAATCATAACAGATAAACTATACTGATTTTAATATAGGGTTATATTATATAACCCTATATTAAAATCAGTATATAACTTATATACCTTATAATACATGGACTGCTAGTCGCCGAGCGCAAAATAAGTGCTCATAGAAACATAGAAGGGTCTGTGACGTTACATGTCTGAGCAAACATTGCCGACAATCGCGGACTTTGCCGATTGTCATATGTTTTTTTTTTTTAACTTCCCGAAGGAGAAGTTTGTTTTCATCAAAAAATCCGATTGGCTAATTTTATGTTTTCTCGACGTTTCAAGCCAGTCTGAACCGAATGAGACCAAATTTGAAAAAAGTATGTGTGTGCGTGTGTGTGTGGAAACAGATTTTTTGCCGTATATCGACATTTTCTGAAAAACTACTGAACCGTTCAAAAATTTAAAAGCCATTCGATGTATCTCGATGAGGACTACCGTTTTTCTTGTGCAGTGATCGGCCGAGCCGTTTCTATGTAATATGAGAAAAACATTTAACATATTAAATCGATTTTAAAAGATCAAAAACTGTTCGAAAGATATTGGCTGGGAATCGGCTTGATTAGTTTTAAGTTTAAATCTACCGAGCCGTTTTCTTGTAATTAACTGTTGAAAAAAAATTCAGCCGATTTTTATTGAACTTTTTTGTGGCGATATATGCCATGGTCTTATAGAACTTACTGAAATATTACAGCCTTACGACAATTTTAAAAATTCATTAAAGTTTGAGAAAATGAGTATTTTTTTGACGCTTGTTAAAATTAATATTAGACAATTTACTTGGCAAATCAAGGCAAAATACCAATACCAACTAGTTTAATAACATAATGGCAATTAACTTGGCTGATAATTCAGTATATCTTTGTATACAAGTATTCAATTTACCATTTAATTTACTTTTCTCCCGGTTAACTGGTAAATGATCATAATTAATGCTGATCAAAAAGAAAAGTGGCACAACCATACCCAATCTCTCCTACTTGTGAACTATGACTTATTTCAAGCAAGTACTTTTCTAAATAATTTTCTACTCTTTGATTAAGTGATATAAAATATGATCAATTTTTTAACCATCTTCTATTAAATTATTTTGCAGGTAAAATGCTAGAATTCAATGAACTGTGATGAATAATTTAATGTTGTCCTTCAGTATTATTATTTCAAGGTGCATATTACATGGATTAAACTTAAAAAAATGGGCAAAAAAATCTTTTCATAAATGTGGGTGCAAAAATTTATTACATGGATTGAACTCTTTTCTGTAGATTATAAAATATCATGGAAAATTGGTCGAAAGAATCTCCTACTATGTGCAAAAAGTTTGACAAATCTAGATGCTAAATGTATTTGCACAAGAAATCAATATTCGTCAGAATAGAAATCAAGACCATTAAAATGTAATTTGTAGTTAATTTGATTTGTCGTCTAATTGTATTAATTGAAATAAATTTTTGAAAAGTTTAATATGATGCATATTAAGTCTTGTCAGACAGATTTTTTATTTGTTTAAAAATATAATATTAAATATATATATAATATTAAATATTTTATTTGTTTAAAAATATAATATTAAAATATATAATATTAAAAATAATTGCAATAAAAAAAGTTTAACTGACATTTAAGTAACATGAAACTTTTCTAGATATTATCATAGTTTTTTTTATTACATTAATGAACAAATATTTCAATCATTTAATATACGTAAATATACATTGAATATTTTGTCTAAAAATTGTTATAACTTTTGTTAATATATATATTTAAAATATTCTGTTCTTTCATTCTTATAATTAAATTTTAAAAATTATTTTTCTATTCTTTCAATTTTTATTAAAAATTTAATAGAAATCGACCACATCTTTAGACGGATAAGTAGTATCATGAAAAGATGAAGAACAATTATAAATTTCATTTGGTTGCCTATACTGTCTAAATTAGAAATGCATTTTTATAAAATTAGATGACGTTCAAATGACTTTTGATATTATACCCTAATATGTGGTGTTTAAATAGATTTATAAGTTTTTTCAATCTCCTAATAAAATATATAAATAGCTTTTCCAAGGGCAAGTAATCATGAAGATTGCGGAAAGACTTTTTTTCATTAATATATTAATATAATCGACCATGTATTTAGAAGAAAAGTAGCATTATGAAAACAAGCAGAAAAATCATCATTAATTTTAATTGGCTGTCTTTACTGTCTAACTTCGATTTTTTTATAAATGCAAATTGTTCAAATGATTTTTGATATTATATTCTGATATACGTATGTGTTGTTTTATTTCATTTATAAGTTCTTTCAGTCTCTAATAAAATTTTGTCATTTATTTGATGGTGGAAATATAAGGAAGTACCCAGTAAATTCTATTCTGTTTCCTAAATTGTTCCTCTCGAAAATGGAACATCCTGAATTAGAAATTAAATGGACTACATGATAATAGACTTTAAAGCTAAATGTAGTGTTTAATGCCAAACATTCCAAACGATTACTTTTGATGAAAATTTGTTCTAAAGGCCAAATCTAAATCTATACTGAGTAGAAAAATTACAGTAAAAAATGATTAAAAAGTGATTTCTGCATAATTGTACTAAAGTTTCTTTGGTAGTAAATAATTCTGTATTTTAATTTGTTTTCTTACTCGATATATTACAGAACTATACAAAGTAAAAACAACTGATTTATTAAAGCGAGAAGACTAAATTTTTATTACTCAACAGTTAAATTATGAATTTGATTTTAATATATTTAAACTCCCATATTAGTAAATTAACAATAATAACGATTTTGTTATTCGTGACAAATAATTTTCAGTTGAATTATAATCAATTTATACAAAATGTAACTATTTAGAAGAGTGAAAATATTTGATGATGAAGTGGATTAAAAAAATATTAGAAGGACAAATATTAGAGGAATTATTTTTCAAGCATACTATTTGCAAAAAATTATGTTTGATGAATTTTTGATATAAAAATCTAGAACACTAGACAATATTAGAATACCCTGTGTTCAGAACCCTGTATCTAGAACCATTTTATTAAACAATCATTAAAAGTCTATCAATAAATAAAATAAATGAAGTCGCATCATAAAAAATATAAAAATGGTTCATAAAATTTTACTGTGTTCTAATTGATAATGAAAATTAGATTAATTAAAAATAATATATATATAAGAAAAAAACGAAAAAGATTTAAATATTTGGATAGATTTTTTTTGTTTCATATCGAAAAACTTTGACAACCTATGTCATATAATACTAGAATTATTTGGAGAATGTTTTTGCGAGATAAACGATTTATTGGGTCGTTTTTCTCAGACCGTTTTACGAGTGGAAATCTGTTTGGGCCATCAAAAACCCATGTTTTTCCTCTATTAATATTTAATATTTCTCTAATATATGTTGATAGTACTACATCGTAGTATGAAAAAAAGATGAATTACTATATATTTTTTAACTATCATACGATCAAATTTAAAAATTTTTATGTAATCCTTACTATACTAACATACCATTAAATGAGTTACTAAAATAAAAACAAATTTTACTATTTTATAATTTACCTCAAATTTCTTTTCTTCCGGGGATGTTCCAGAAATATCAACTTCATCTTCAGCTTCTGTTACTTTTGGAAGCAGCGGCATTTTGGTTACTCAAAATAGCAAAAGTATCTGAAAATAATAGAAAAAAGGATATCATTAGTATAAGAAACCATAAACCAAAAAACAAGCTATAAACCAAATAAACATATCTATATCTAATAATTTAGAACTCTTGAAATTTTTCAGCAAATTGAATTAATGGGTCTATATAAAAAATTTAATATATCATTCGTGATTATGATGAAAACATTTTATAAAAATTTTCAGTTCTAAAATATATTGATTCATATATTATAAATAAAATTCTTCTGTATGGGTGTAAGTCGAGATACTCCTCCCTAAACGATGATTCTGATTTTGATAAATCTTTCTGAAGTTTGTTATGGGAATTTTTTAGGATGTATGGGATTATAAAAATATAATATTGCAGAAATGAATGGAAAAATAGTAAAGAACGACATGTCATTGTTTAACACTGAAAATTGTTGTTTTATATATATATATATATATATATATATATTTATTTATATCTGATATTCTATTTATAAACTTTAGATTTCTAACCAAGTTTACTATTAAATCTAGGAAATCTTTTGTTGACCCATATTGATCTAAATTTACGTCGCCATAAAAGTTGGATATGTTCTTTCTTAGAGGTTTCTTATAAGAATCCAACAAAGCCTTTCAATGTCAAGGGCATACATGACTCGAAAAATAATGCACTATTACTTCTAGAATATATATATATATATATATATATATATATATATATATATATATAATGATGATTGACACCCACAACCAAAGATTTTTCCTAACAATAAGATTTACTAATGGATAGTTTGTGTTCATGAGTGTCATGCCTTGTATTTGTGAAAATATAAAAAATATTTTTTTAAAAACATAATTTTTATAATACTAATTTAAAATTTTTCAATTAAAATATAACTCAGTACATTAATAAATGGAAAACCACTGGGTCAAATTAATCACTCAATGTCTTTTTATATAGACTTGATTGTAATTTATAAGAAAATATAAAAAGATAAAAAAAAATATAATTCTGAAGAAATTTATGATTTATGAATGAATATTTATGTACTTCTGTCAAATTGTACCTATTTTCTGATATTCTGATATAAAGTAAATTTTTTATCAATTCTACTATTTTATTTTATTTAATTTTTAATAATAAAAAACCCTACAAAATGCACAAGTATAACAAGGTTATACGTGTACAAGTTTTTATTCTATTATATTTTTAAATTATAAATTATTATTTATTCTATTTATCTATATTATAGTATTTATTCAGAGGTACTATTTTTGATCGATTTTCTGTCACTCGATGTATTCTATGATTTTGTGTGAATACATCAATGTAAAATATTCCATCATAATAGTCTAAAGAGATTTGAAACCATAAATAATGGATATTTATTGAAAAATGTCTGTCTTCAATATATAAAAGACGAGACGCCTTTCAAAGTAGCTTCTGTAATAAATAGACTGAGAGCCAGCGACCAAATCCTAACCAATTTATAATAATAGATGGTAAATAATATTATTTTAAGAAATCACAAATTTATATAAGTATAAATCAAAAAATTATGGGAAAATCGATAAATAATAAAATGGGTAATCACTGAAAGTCTATTTTTCATTTTTGGCTGCTCTAATATTAAAAATTAAAGATTTTGTTAATTTTTGAGTTATTTTTTAAGAACCTTTTTTAAATAGTGTATTCATTAAGTTTGTCATGTTAATAAAAAATAGACAGCGTTCCAAAGTAAAAACAAATTAATATAAATGATGCATGATATTTATAAAATACGTATCGGCACTAAATATGTGTCATCTAGCATACGATATTTGAATCTAACTTTCAATAAATCTAAATTTCAACACTAAGTATATGTCAATTAAATAATTATACATTTAAATAAATTTTCTTTGAATTTTATTGTACTCACAAAAATAAAACATTTTTTAAATAAACTATATATAAATATTTATTTGTAAATAAATAAAATTAATTGTTTTTTTGTGTGGTTAGAAAAAATTTAATATGGTATGCATTTAAAACAAAAACAAATAAAAAACAAAAGTTAAAACAAATTGAAGAAAATCTTTAATTTAAAAAAAAATCATTATGTAATTATTTTAGAAATGCAAATTGATGGAACACATTCAGAGTCAAAAGGTATACAATAATTTTTACATTATGTTGAAATTTTTATCTTCGATGAAAATTCAAACACATTTATTCATGAATTATTTTATATGTTGTATTTGTATGTTTATTTGTAAAATTAAATGGTATAATAATTAATCAGGCATTATTCATTAGTCATTCGCCATATATTTTTGTTAATTATTTTATACAAATTTTATGTTTATTACATCAATTTTTGTATAAATGTTGTTTAGTTTATGCACTGGGAATAAGAACTCGAAACGTATGCAATTTTTATTTTAAAATATTTAAACCCAACTTATTTTTTTTTTATCATTTTCTTAGTTAGTTTTCGGCTCTCCCTCTAAAATATTACTAGTACACCTATATGAAATTTAATTTTGTCTAGACAGTGCATTTTCCTAAAGCTGAAAAAGCTTATCCAGTTTTCTTACGGTTATGACAAGGAATTTTCATATATTTGAATAACTCACTTTTTTACGAGAGTTTTGTAGTAGAAAAGTTATTTCGCACAAAAGTTAGTTTTTAGTAATTTAATAAATTCCATATTACAATGCAAAAATATTATATATTCAGAAACAACGTAGAAATACTATTATTTGTGATTAATATTTTCATCTTTACCAGAAATTGAATTATAAAATAGTTGTTTACAAAAATAAAATCTAATGAAATCAAAATAAATACAAATAAAATATGCATTTTGAACAAGGTTCATATTTATTTTTTATTTAGATTGCTTAATAATTCTAACTACATAATCTTATACCGATAGTTATATAAGTAAACTAATTGTTATTTGCATTTCATATCTTATATAAATATACTTTATTTAAACAATCAATTTATTACTGTTGCCTATCTTATTATAGCTCTTTATTATTTAAATAAGTATTTAATTTGAATTTCAAAAATGATTTATTATATTTTTTATCTGTACATTTGTACATAATTAGCCAGTAATTATTTATTACTATTTTGATGCAATTCAAATATATTATTGCAATTATTATTATTGATAACTTTTTTGCATATTGACTATTAATTATATTTTGTAGGTCCCATATATTATTCGAAAATGATAGCTATAAATAATTTTTTATTAATTAATTCTATTTTTATTCAATATTGGGAAATCTTCACACTTTTTAGTGAAACTCAACAGGATTTTTTATAGTGTGAAAGTAAATTTATTTTATTAAATACTTGTAACTATTAAATACTATGAAAAATTTATACAGGATATTTAAATTATAAATCTATTGATTTGTATACTAATAAAAAAATATTTGTCCAAACTCAAATAACAAATTTAAATATAAATAAATCTATATTTTTCTTTTATGTGTTTATTGATAAGAATTGCAAACAAAATTACATAATGTTATATATCTCCATACAATTTTTCTACTTACATAATTTATAATTGAACTCTCGAATCAAATAACTTTATGCACGACCATAATATCACAAACACATTTTAAATACTAAATAATTTTTTGTATTTGTTAAATATTTATAAAGTAATGTTAAATATTTTATAAAATGTACAAATTATACACGACACTAAAACTTAATGTTTTGTTAAATTTTCAATAAAACCATATGATTCATATCATTTTTAATAAAAATATCGGCCACTTGAATTATATAAAATATTAATATAAAAATAAAGATAATGACATATTAATAATTATTAGAACACAATATATTAATATACGGGAATATGTTATTTAATTGATAATAAGTCCACAATTAATAAAACGCACAAAAGTTAATTTATATTTCATCAAAGTTCAATATTTGCCACTATTCTTTCTAAGAGTTTAAACGTCTCATCATTTACTAAATTAAATTATAATTTACTAAATAAATTCACTAAATTATGGTCAAAAATTCAAAAGTTAAAGTTAAAGTCAAAAATTTATTTAAATAGAACTTTAGAGCAAAATTATTGTTATTGAATATATATTATATTTGAAGCCACAAATTCACTTTGCACTATTAATTTGTTCCACAAGAAAATAAATAGCATTGAATTTCTTTTGTTTATAAACCTAACTTATCAAGTGTTTATAACTTTAAAACCTCTGCATATAAAATCTTTGCATTTAAATTATCCAATTAGTATCTAAATTATAAATAAATTATCAAAATTAGTAAGTCCAATGTATCTCCACCAAACCTTTTATATGAAATTTAAAACCCTCCAAGACACTATCAAAAATTTTATTAATTAATTTAAAAACTCAAAACAAAATACACATCCATATTTTTTGCCACTTTTGTCCATTGTTTTGCATGTTGTTGTCACCAGTAAATTACTTCTATAATTTATAATGATTTATAAGAATAATCATTTAAATCAATATATTTTATTCAAAAATTTATATATATTTGCACTTAAAAACGTGGAGAAAATTGAATCGAACTTGTTCTCGCAAAGAACTTGCCTTATATTGTGTTTGGATCCGAAAAATATGCCGGAGATAAACGTGTGGTTCTACAAAACCAGGGCTGGGTAATAATATTCAGAGAATAATATATGAAACTAGATGAAGTAACATTTTGCCTAAAGCTAGTTGCACGAATTTCCCAAATTGTGTAATTAAACGACCTAAAAAATACAGATACGACTACATTAATTAAACTTATCAAATAAAATACAATACTCACCTCTATTTATGAAGAAATCAAGCACAAACATCAATTCCACTAATATAAAACTGTCCTAGTTCTTTCGAGACTCGAACATGCGACGATGTCGACCCGGGTGCATTTACGGCGCCCGGGTCGACACGCCTTAGTTCTAGTCCCTACCGAACACAGGGAAGAAATGAACGTGTTTGTTCGATATTTTCCATAATATGATCAAGCATAGATCAACAATGCTGTTTTGTGTAGATAAGAAACTCGGTTGGTAAACAAACCCTTTGAATTTGCATCACAACTGTCGTTATGGTAGATGCAAGTGTCCTCTTGCTGGTGTATTTGATTTTAATTTTTGTATAAGAGAATGTTTTGGCAACACTTTGGAAACTGAGTTGGCAGTATATTGTAAACAAATGATAAGGGCGCGTAAATGATTTGTCAATGTTTTCTTAATAAGCATTTTTTAAAAAAGTATTAATAACTAGCTGTATCTGAAAATTCGTTAAAAGTTAAAGGTTTTTCATTCTTATGTTGTTTGCAATATATTTTTAGTTTATTGTAGTAGCTTTATTAGAATTTTTCTTTATATACTATAAAGATAATTGGTGCACGATTTTCTAGGCGTGATATTACAACTTTTATGGCCTTTTTCAACCTCTTAAAGGCGTTTTTTTGATTATTTAATTTGACTTTATTTTAATCATGAATAATGAACGTAAAATTGAAAAATCAACTAATCAACATAATTTTTTATTGATTATGAATCATTTTTATTTTTGAGCAATTTGCATTACAACTTATAGAATTTTTTATATAAAAATAAATAGTTTTGTATTTAAATTTAATTTCAAATGCAGACTTCTTTATTTAAAAAATGGTATGAAAATCAAGATATAGTTTGAATTTTATAAAGTCAGTATTTAGTTATTAGACATAAAATGCTTGAAAATTAACAAAGAAAAAATAAGTATTGAAAATTTTTAATTGTTTATATAATCGTAGTATTATTAAAACGTCTGAGATTCAAAATTGTACATCAATTTTAATTTAAAACAAATTATATATTTCTATACACATTTCCCAAGAGGACCGACATACAGAATTTACGTAAACGTTGCATTAATAATAAGTTTGCTTTAGTAAATACTTATCTGAATCACAGTAACATCTCCAGCATTTTAATAATATTATAATCCTTCAAAAAATAAGTATTACAATGATCACATATATTTGTGATCATACACAATTTAATATAAAGGTCAATATTATTAAAAAAAATTACTACATTTTGTGCAATCCTGTGTGTACTCAATACTAGAGTACGGTTCCTAGGAAATACATTCACAAAGAACTCCCAAAGTTTATCAAAAGAGTTCGAGAGAAATTTGCACAGAATGTGATAATTATGTTATATCATAAATGTTTGATTTAAATATTATAGAATTTAATCTTAATATTCGTGTATAACCACTTACAAAAAAACCTGAAGATACACGTTTCAATCTTGAAGATCAAAATAGGCTCCATGTACAAATTTCAAATGTAATAATTTCCTCTTGCAAAACACAAGGAATTGTTTCATTGGATGAATAAGAAATAAAATTTAATGAAATTTATCACAAAAACGTAATAAACTTGAAATTATTGTTATCAGATACAAATAAAATTATATATAGATTACAGTCATATTATTTTATTAATTTAATCAGTTTTGCAAATATTCAAACAAAGTATTTAATGTGTCCATGTATTTTTTTGCTGTGCCAAGTAAAATATTTTATTATTTCTTTTTTAAATAATCTACTATCATATTTTATTTATCAACTAAATGAGTTTTACAAATAACAAAAACGTTTATCATTTTCCCAAGTATTTGGTTTGGTTGGTGACGAGTTCAATACTTTATTTGTTGACTAATTTATATTTCGTCTTGACCTAGATTATTAAATACTTTTAAATACGTAGTAATTATCAGTCACAATTCAAATAAAAACTAAACTGATACTAATGTAAGTCGAAATTTTGTTATAGATAATAAATTATTTGGTCTCTGCGCTAGTAGTAATGGAGTGCCGCAAGGGCAGTATGAAGGACCACTTTATGAGATAGATAATAGATAGATGATTTAAGTAATTATTTTTGTTATTTTCTATTTGCTAATATCACAATATTTTTATCAAAAGGATACTACAGAGATAATATTCTCTCGCATCATCCTTACATTATTTAATATTATACTTACACTTTTTCTTACATTTAACGTGGTATTGCTAAATATAATTTTTTGTTAATGAAAATAAAAATACTTTTAAAATTAGTTTTGAAAAATCATATTGTGTTATAATTTTTAAACGAGAAAGATTTTGTTATCAGTTAATTTTTAAAATATTACTTTTGAATAAAACATTTTAATGTAAAAGTTTTTCTCTTACCAATCTCCAGAGTTCAGAGTTATCGTTTTCAAAATGCCTTGTGTTCAAGCCTTTTTATAAACTAGTATACAACTATAAAATATAAATTACTATATATATATATATATATATATATACATATATATATATATAACTTTATTAATTAAATTTGGAGAATCCTTCGATTTTATGTCGGCCGTTTCTATGCAATCGTCGTCTCGCCGCCTTCCTGAGTGGGTTGAAAAATGGGTGGCTTGAATAGATGGACTTCCAAGAGTAAGGTTTCATTGCATCAAACGGGGACCAATGTACATATTAAATTAAAAATGATAAATTAAAAAAATAAGTAAAAAATTGCGAGAATATTTATAATTTTTACTATCTTACCCGGGCGTTCAAATACTGAATTGACATTCAATTTTGACATTGTAAGTACTACCAAAAAATTGCTGATGATAAACTTGATAATGAGATTTTGTGATGTTTGCTATAGCAGAAATTTTGCAGGAGATTGATTTGTCAGAAATAGTACATAAATTCACATCAGTCTCATTAATAAACTCTAAAAGAGACGAATTTAATTTGTCAAGTCATTCAGATTTTTTTTTGATTGTCTGATTATATAATTAATTAATTGTTGCAAATCGTATAACAAGTTTTGCAAATGTGATAAAAAACAATTAAAAATGCCTTCTTTGTTAAAAAGAAGCCAAGTACTAATATATCCATATAAAGGACTGACAAACTGGAAAAAATTAAACCAAATAATTTCTGATATAGGACACTTTTTGCACGGAGAATTAGATGTCTTTTGTAAGAAGTTTGGTGTAAATACTATATAATATCAAGCATAAGTTACTTTACCAAGGTAACAGGATTCCACTGGATCATAATTGCTTAATACCACTACATGATACCTATATCGACAAAATAATAAAAATGAGACTCATTTTGGTAACATATCACTCCTATTGTCACAATGGTCAGGAGAACTAGTTTCAGTCCTGTAAATAAAAAAATGAATCGCAATTAAACATTCAAAAAACAGTCAATGATGAATAAAAATTGATCAAGTCAATGCTTAATAACAATTATATAAATATTTCTAAATAGATTCTAAAATAAAACAAATCTGCCTTAATTGATTCATGAAATTAAGTGAAATACTTCTGAAAGCTTGAGAAAGTCCAGATAAGTCCTAGAAAATCTTACACCAAATATCTCTATTGTATATAAAAATTTTTTCCAATAACAATCTCTAGGAAAGCCAAAATAATCAATGAGACTCATCAGTACCAATATTTTGATGTGTCCCTAAGGTGTCCTGAAATGGAGAATAAATATTAAAAAAAAACTTACTAATTTATTACAATTAAAATTTTGTATTAAACTGTATATAC